AGGGGAGGGCACCCACCCCGGCCCACAGGAGGCAGGGAGCAGCAGGTGCCTTGAGGGCTGATCTGGGCATCCTCTCCTGGATAGGGTCCAGGGAGGATCTCTGGGGCAGGTGGTCTCTGGAATGTCCATGCTCACAGGCAGCTGGGACATAGCAAGCAACTGGGAACCAGCTGCTCACCCTGTCCCACTGCCAGGCCGCCCGATGCAGCCCCCTCCCTTCCCTGGGTCCACAAAGGCCTTTCTGTTTGGGGGCCGGGGTGGACGCTCAGCCAAGGAGACGTGAGCAAGCTGGGCTCCAGGTGAAGACAACAATAACATGGCCTTATCTGGGGGAGGGGGCATCCATGTTCCCTACTCCCAGCTGCCCTAGGGGCTCAAGGTCCAGGCAGCCTGTCTCAGCCTCCACAAAGGCTGTCATCCTAGCAAGGCCAGTGGAGAAGGCAAAGAGGAAACCATCTCCAAAAGATGAGGGAAGGGGGTCGCCAGGGGAACTCCCAAGAACCACCTTGGAATGGAACACTTCACCTCTTGATGGTGCAATACCCTGCACTTACAAGTAGTAAGATTTATGGCTCCTTCCATCCAAGAGAACCTCCCACACCACTAGCACTTTGCTAAACCCTTAACTTACTTTATCTCTTCGAAGACAGAAGAGAGCAGTGGTCGACAGCTCAAACACAATCAGACAGAACTGGCTGCCAGCTTCTCAACCTCTCTGAGCCAAAGTTGCCTTGCCTCAAGCATCTGACCCCAAACCCCACAGTATTAATCACACTGTCCCCCAAGGACACCTTCACTGCCCGGACCTTTGGACGGCAGGCAGGAGCCAAGAGGATCAAGGAGATGTTCTATTTTTCAGCTCAGGCAGCTTGGTCCCAGACACAAGCCCCCTGGCCAAGGACAGGCCCTGGAGGGCTCGGGATCCTGGACTGGCCTGAAGCCTCCCACGTCCTTGAACAAGGGAGAGGAGGCTCCAGGGATGGATGGCAGGTCTCTAGTCTCCTGATTCAGTCCTCCCTCTACAATAGGCCCTCAGATAAATCTCAGGTCATTTTGGATACAGGCCCCAGGACATCAGTCTTTCCCTCCTGGCTTTATCACCAGAATATCCAGAGTAAGTAAATCCATAGAGACAGAAGGCAGATTGGTTGCCTGGGCTAGAGAGAGATGGGAGTGGGGAGTAACTGCTTAATGGGGACGGGGGTTTCCTTTTGGGGTGATAATGTTGGAACTAGACGGAGGTAGCAGTTGCACACATTGTGAATGTACTAAATGCCACTGAGTCATTCACTTTAAAATGATGATTTTTATGTGATGTGAATTTCACCTCGCTTAGAAATAAGGGTACCTGTAGCTAAGAGATTAAAGGAGGAAGAGGGGGGTGCCTGGGTTGCTCAGTCAGTTAAGTAGCTAAGCAAGCCTTGGGACTTTAGCTCAGGTCATGATCTCATGGTTCCTGGGTTCTTGGACACCAGCAGGGAGCCTGCTTCAGATCCTCTGTCCCCTTCTCGTTCTGCCCCTCCCCCCACTTGTTCTCTCTCTCTCTCTCTCTCTCTCTGTCTCTCTGTCTCTCTCTCTCGGCAGGTGGGAAGTGAAGGAGGGCTGAGTTATGGGGGAGGGAGGGGACGTTGTATGTACATTCTGATGTTGCAGGAGCAGAGCAGTTTGGGGGGGGCAGGTAAGAGGGAGGGTGGTCTGGAGGATGCAGCCAGTTGAGACAGCAGAGTTTGAGCTTTGGAACTGGGGGAGACAGCTGCCTATAGGGGAAGGGGGAGAACCAGGGAGGGAGCTGCACAGGCACTAGTAGCCTCTGAGCTGTTTTGCTTCCTCTCAGAGATTAGACTGGAAGCTCCTGGGGGAGGGGGTAGGGACCTCATCTTTTTAGCTGATGTTAATTTTCATAGCAGAGCTTTGTCACAGGTAGATGCTTCTTTTAAAAAGCCTGGCACCAATGGAATGACATCAAACATGCTAAGCAGCAGGAAGATTATCCACCGCCCACATCAGAGAAGTGAGGATGGCACTGGGCTGAGTTTGCATGCCACTCAGGGCAGCAGGGTGGCTGCCCTGCTTCCCGGGGGCCCAGAGGGCCTGCCTTTCACCCCCTCCATGCCCAGGGTCCTGAGAGGGCAGCACCCACCAGGGTCTGGGGTGGGGGAAGGGACTGGGTGACACCATGAGCTCCTTTGTCAGACCCAGGAAGGAGAGTGGGGGCAGCTACAGGAAGTAGGGGGGTGAGGAGTTCCCTCCGGAATCTATCCCCCCACTTCCCTCGCCTGTGCTTGCACAGCTCCTGCACATGCTCAGTGTGCCCACAAACTGGGTTGGCTGGGGGAGGGCACTGACTGGCACCCCCACTTAAAGGGCCAGTGCCATGCTTGCTTGAGCCCAACAGGGAGCAGTAGGAACTGGCCACCCTCTGACCTCACACTGATTTCTTCACTTCAAACCCCCTTCTTCATTTCCTGGCAGACTCCTTCTGTCTCCTCTGGACACAGGAATTTCCACGCAAGGTGAAGGCAGTCCTTGCTGGGGAAGGAAGGAGGATCCCAGGCCAGGGCATGCAGGGGTGGTGGGAAGCTTCACTCCAGTGAAATATCTGCCCTTGGGCCTCCCTCCCTTGACCCAGGTGACCAAGAAGATCCTGGAAAGCAAATGGGCATGAGGGAAGTAAGACAATGAGAATTTGCTCTAGAAAGGCCTGGAGGGGCAAGGGGAGTGTGTCTAAGCCCAGCTTTCCCCAGCCAAGGGGGTATGTAGGTTGCAGGGGAGAGGAGAGGCTGTAAAATTGGACCTTGTCACTGTGGTGGGGTAGGGAGAAGCCCAGGCCTCCGGGCGGGGCAGCCGGAGAGAGAAAAGACGAAAGGGACCCACACCTGGCCACCACCTCTAGCGCAGTGGCCTCTGCCCAGTACTTGGCCCAGTACTGCAGGACACACTCCAGCTCAACCCGGGGGCTCCAGGCCACTGAGGTCAGCAAACCAGATGCTGGGAGGAGGTGCCAAGGAAGGACTCTTCACTGACTCCCCTCAGTGAAGACACTTTCCCAGCTCACACTTTTCTCCTTTGTTTTCTTCTTGTCCCATCCTGTCCTCCACCAATCTTGGGAAAATTAACCCACTTTGACGTGGCCCTGACCAAGAGCCCTTCGGCGTGTGTGTGTGTGTGTGTGTGTGTGTGTGTGTGTGTGTGTGAGTGTGTCTGGGCAGGCAAGGGCCAGCAGGTAGCTTTCCCATCCCCAGGCTCCCTCAGCTTCTGGGCCAAGAAGGGCCAAACTCCTCACCTGTCCCCTCCCCCGTATGGGGCTCTTGCTTACTCAGGACACTCTGGCCCTCCTGGGCATGGCCCCAGCACCCTCCCCCAACAACTCCAGCAGCAGCCCCCTCTGGAATCTTCTCACCCCTCCCAGTTACACACACACACACACACACACACACACACACACACACACACACAGGCCTCTGGGTAAACAGCCTTAGTCCTGGCCCAACCCTCTCCCTCTGGGCTCCCTGCTGAGGAATGCAGCAGCTGGGAGGCTGCCTGAGCCTTGCCCAGGGGCCTCTGGATCCCAGGCTAGCACCTTCCCCCACCCAAGGCAGGCTAGGAATTCGGAAAGCCACACCCTCCCGGAGCCTTGGATTTCCCATCTGCAAAGTGGGGACAAGCATTCCTCTGGCCCTTCCTGAGCTGTTCAAGAGCAAAGAGAAGGGGGCTAAACTCTTTGATGAGGGCTCCCAGGGGCAGAACGCCCCCCTCCCACACCTGCCTTCGGGGACAGAAGATTCTACTCTTTCTTGAAACCCACCCCTCCCCAGAATCTGTTCTCGCCTTGCTTCCTTGTTGAAGGCGCTGGCCAGGCCTGGGTGTGGCAGGGCAGAAATGAAAGTTATCCTGGCAACACACAGGGTTCGTCAACATTTCCATCCCAGCAGCTCCGAGGCCTGAGCCCTTCTCTTGCCCAATGTGGTCTGACAACACTAGTCTTCCTGGAATGGAAGCCAGGTGGGGCTGGCCAGGTCTCCGCCCCTCCCCTCCCAGTGCACGGTGGCAGAACCACACAGCCTCCCTGGTGCGTTGGCTAACTTCCCCCTCCACCACCCTGGCCCAGGCCGACAAGGACGCCCGGAAGGGGTGACAGAAGGGAGACTGGTGTCTGGGGAAGGCTGGGTCTGAGTGATGGGGCGTGTGAGCTCGTTTCAGAGCCCAATACTCCCGGCACCTTGGTGGCATCTGCCTTATCCCAGGGGACTCAGCTTTCTATTATGCAAACAGGGGAGAGGCTCACCTCAGAGAGAAGGGACCTCACAGGGGACAAGGTGAAGAGGAGCAGGAGGCGCAGATGCACAGTGAGCACCAGGAAAGCCAGGCCACCAGCTCTACTAAGTGCCCCCTTCTGCCTCTTGGCCTTTTTTTTTTTTTTTCCTCCAGTAGGAGGAAACTTCCCTTGAGGGCTTACTTGTAAGTGCCCTTCCAGGAGGTCTGGGGATAAAGGTGACTAACCTCCCACCGCCCAACCACAGGCTTCAAGATGTGGGGGGCAGCGGGCTGTCAAGGACAAGGAGACACAAGCCACCCAGCCCTCACCCAGCCGGGCCCTCCAAACTATGGGGAGCATAAGGAGAATACCGGGAGCTGGGGAACAAGCCCCAAAGGAACCCCTCCAAAAGTCCCAGCCCTCTCTCCTCCAGGGGACACCCCAAGCTCCTCCCAGCAATCTGGCCTCTGAAGTCAAGTTCTGGCTGAACCCCGTGGTTCCTGAGCCCTCCTCCCAGCCCCGCATCCTCCTCTATAAGACCTTCAGAGCAGTCTGATTGTTCCTGGGCACACAGAGCAGCATTCAGGTATCCGGAGGCCCTTGCAGTTCCCTAACACAGAGGTCCGCTGGCCAACCCAGGCTTGGGGCGAGGCGGGACCAGGACCCCAGTCCCAAACCTCTCTGGAACAAATGTGCTTCAATTCTCAGAGCAGCCCTAGTGAAATCAATCCTAGCCACTCCCACCTGATCTCCGGAAAATCATTTAATTTCTTTGAGAAAAATAGGAAGACATCAAAGAACAGATTATGGGAATGACAAGGTAGAAGGCTCAACCGATTTTAGCTGTTCTCGGGGGACCCGGGGTGGGGGGCCTGGGAGTGGTTTCCATCTGCCGCCTGCCTCCCTGAGACCCAGCGGCCTGAGTGTGTATGAAACGGGACTTTCTCCTTGGGGTGACCTGAGTGGGGGGGCCCCACTAGGTGCCCGGCTCCCCATCGGGACAGCTGCCCTTCCGGTTCCACATCGCGTTCTCCTCCCGGAGCCGCTGGTTCTCTGTCCGGAGCCTCTCGACCTCGGCGGCCAGCTCCTCCACCTGGCGGCAGGGCAGGCGGCCGGGGTCCCCTCGCAGCTGCTGCAGCCTCCTGGTCTCCTCCTCGGCCTGCGACAGCCGCCTCTCCAGATCCAGGTAGTCTCGAACCAGCTCCTGCTTGCTGCGGTCCTGCAGGCGCTCCGTGTGGTAGCGCTCGTAGGCCTCGGAGAAGTCCCTCTGCTGGAACTCCCCGTGAGCCCGGCCTCGCCCGTCGTCGCTGTCCCCCGCCTCACTCTCCCCGCTGGAGCCCGGCTGGGAGGCCCCATGGGGCACTTCCAGGTTGGGCTCCTCAGGGTCTCGGTCATTCATCAGGAATTGGGTGGTGTTGTAGGGCGCCACGGGCTGGCCCTTGGCGAACATCTCCTCGCGGACCCGGGAGGCCCTCTGGCTCTGCCTCTCATCCCGCTGTTGCTTCTCGGCCCAGCTCAGCTCCAGGTAGGGCCGCCAGTGCCTTTTGCGCTTTGAAGGCCTCCTGCGGTGCTTCTTCCGGCCCAGCACAGCCTCCACGGGGCCGCCCCCTGGGCTCTGGGTCCGGGAACCCCTACTGCTCCAGCCCAGGCCGCCGCCAGCGCCCGTAGGGTCTTCCTCCTCTGAGTGGCTCTCTAGCCCGGGTGTCAGGGGCAGGGAACTACCAGGGTCATGAGGCTCTGGGGGTGTCTGGGGGCTCCCAGGAGCACCAGGGGTCTAAACAGGGGGCAAGGAAGAATGAATCACAGACAGCCTGTCCCGGGTGGTGTCTACAACCACTGGGCCTGAGGCCAAACTTCCCACAGTTGACTCGGGGTCACTCTCCCGCCTCTCACCCTCTGCAACTATTTGTTGGATTTGTGGGTTTTCCCGACTACTGTCTGCCCCCCAACCCTCCCCAAGCAAACTCATGACAACAGCAGGAGTGCTGCCCGCTATTGCCCTCTGGAATTTCTCCACCCACGCCTGCCAGAGCAGGTATTCCACAAACACTGAATGAAGTAGGACATGGGAGAGTGGTTGGGGAGTGGGTCCCGACGCACTTGTTTCATCAGATACCTTCTTGGAAGCCTGTCCTTCAGACAGAGTTGGCTTCATGAGTAAGCAACCTGCGCGGTCTCTCAGGGCCCCTCACCCCCACTCTGTTCAGAAAGGCCCCGCGCTTTGCTTAATGTTCTGCTGTCCTTGTCTTGAACTTTGTAACAATTTTTGAATAAAGAACCCTTTGCACTGGGCCCTACAAATTATGTAGCCCATCTTGCTAGCAGGTATTTGCATAGCTGACTCTTTAGGGCTTAGTGCCAATGTCGCCTCTTCCGAGGAGCCCTCCCTGACCACCCTATCTAAAGATCCCCACCTCCATCTCCCCTTCCCCGTGACATCATCATAGGACCCAGTTAACATCCCACGTAGCATCTACCACATTGCTATTTACCATCTGTCTGCTTCCCATAAGAATGTGTCCAGTCTGTCCAGTTCTCCACTGTGTCCCCGTGCATGGCCCAAGGTAAGTGCTCCACACACATATGTTAACTATCATAAAGCCCATAACAGAGGGGGACCCAAAAAACACAGGGATGTGAGACTCTCCTTTCTGCTGATCTAGGGCAAAGAAGATGGAGTGTGTTTATCCCAAGCAGAAGTTGCTATCACTCTTTGACACGAGCGGCAGGAAAGAGGCCCTGACTAGGGAGAGGAAGGGTGACCCTCTAGTCTGCAGCTGACAGCATTCTAGAACTTATCTAAGAGGTGGAAAGGGATTCTGTCAGGAGTGTGTGTACAGAGCATGTGTTTATCTCTGTGGTGGTAAGGGTGGGAGTACTCAGGGTATGGGGTGGGGAATGAATTGCTCTATGTTTGTGGTTTGGGGAATTCTAATAATAATTGCCACCATTAGCCTATTGCTTTATGATGTAACCACGGCTCAGAGACATCTGAGTGTAGGTCCATACGTTCAGAGATCTGCGAGCATCGGTCCCTACAAGCACGGCGTGCACATCCGGGGATGTATGCAGCCCCCCTGAGAGCTGGGAGTGTGCTGTGTGTGCTTTAGGGGCTCTGGAGCCCTCTTCCTCATCTGGCATGGAGTATGTTCCTGTGAGTACGCAGTACGTGTGTGTGCTGTTTGTTGTGTTGTATTGTTACTTCACCTGCAGGGAGATCAGAGATCCAGAGCGGGCCTTATCTCCACTCAGTGTCTTCAGCCTCCTGAGACAGAGTTTCTGGCCCAGCCCAGAAGCCAGGCGCCTGGCAGTGGCCAGGCAAGGTGGCTTGCTTGTGTGTGCACATTCAGTTGCCCCCAGCCCTCAGTACGTGTACCCCCCTGATGACCCTTCCCCGCACCCAAACCAGCCCCGCCCCTCAGCCCCACGTGCTGCCTCCCTCCTGAAGGCTTGTCCCTTTACCACCATTCCCACTATTGCAGATAAGCTGTGTGATCTGGGTGAGTCATACGCCCTCTCTGAACTTCTAATCCTGACCTACCATGAACTCCAAGTTAAACAAGCGCTGAAAGTGGCTAGCTAGGGTAGGTTAGAGGAGCGGAGTTCCTTGCTCGTCTGTAGAGACTCGAAAACCAGGGGAGAATAGGCAAGGCGGGGCAGCAAGAGAGAGTATGGGCAAAGCAGGTGTGGGTTCCTGTTGCCATATCAGAAGGTGACGTTTTCTGAGAGTCTGACACAATCCATGTCTCCCTCCCTCCCGGACAGTGTGTGAACCCCAACCCCCATCCCAAATCATGAACCAGCGGCTCAAACTGCTTCCCCTGTGTCACACTTGGTCCTCAGCTTTGACAAATTGCAAGGCAGAGTTCTGTTGTCGGAAGTCCCTAAATTTAATCTTGGGCGCCTGGAGGGCTCAGCCGGTTAAGCATCCAACTCAATTTCAGCTCAGGTCATGACCTCACAGTTCGTGGGATGGAGCCCTGCGTCAGTCAGTGTTGACAGCGTGGAGACTGCTTGGTATTCTCTCTCCTCCTCCCTCCCTCCCTCCCTCCGCCCCTCCCCCGCTCATGCTCATTCCTGTTCCCCCCCTCTCTCTCATGCACGCGTGCTCTCTCTCAAAAAACAAAATCAAAACAAACTTTACACCTGGATCTTTTGTTTGCTAGCTCCCTGATTCTAGAGAAGGCATTTCAGCTCTGAGAACCTTAGCTGCTTTGAAATGGAAGTAGCAATTCCTACCTTGAAGGGCTCCCAGGATTTTATGAGATAGCACAGATTCGGCATCCGGCATATTGCCCACTGCACAGTAGAGACTCATTTAAAAATACTGGTTTTCCAAACCTGCCAACACACCTGAGATCAGCCAGCAGGACCCGAGTCAGGGCACTCAGGTGGCTGGGAAGGTGGGGCTTACCTTGGCCTGCTCCAGGGCTGCGGGTGACTGTGTTACAGTTGGTCTGGGTCGGAGTAGCCACCTTCTTCTGTTCCAAATCTTTCAGCAGATGCCTTTAACTTTAATGACACCTGCCTTAAATAACAGAAAACTCAGTCTTACAGGGGAATTTTCAGGAAGACTTGCTACTCAGGAATTTTTCACCAAGGCAGCGGCAGCCATTTTGCAGCACTGGAACTGCACACTTTGATTATCAAATCAAGGCCCTGAAGGCTGCCTGCGCACCCTGGTTTTCACACCTCCAGTCAGCAAGGGGGCCAAAAGGAGAATAAGGGGCCAGCTTCCCAGTCCTGTTCCTCAGACCCCAGGCCAGGGCTTACATCCTATACTGTTCTAAAAGTCACTGAGGCCCAGGCTGGCAGCTAGGAAGCCAGCCCTAAGCTTGCCCCAGCACCCCGCCCCCGCCCCCTAACAACCAAAGGGGGTAAAGGACGCTGTCCTAGGAGGCAGACACAGCAGTGACCTGGAGAGGCTGGCAAGGGAGTGGGTCAGTGGCTCTAACAAGAAAATATGAAGCGGCCTTTACAAGGGGTCCTTTCCTCACTGTGTGCAGACGCCCCCGTCTCGGCAGCAGACCCCTCCCCCTGCCTGCCCCCCAGGCTGGACTCCAAAACCTAGCGCTGAGGAACACAGCTGTGGCCTGCGCCGAGCCTGGGGCTGAAGCCTTATCATCTCCTGGGCTTGGCTGCCTCCCCGCTCCCTCCTCTCAGGACGGGAAACGGAGGAGAGGCGAAGGAGTCTTCACACTACATGCAGCTGGAAGGGAAGAAGGATGGATTCCTTGGAAGAGGGGAAGTAGTCCGAGAAAGGAGATTTTGCAAAGGCAGAACTGACCTATTTGTTGTCAAGGATTATGCACACGACTATATCTGTGTGTCTTTCTGTGCGACCGACCTCCTGTCTGTGCAGTTCCCAACGCCTCAGCCCTACCTCTTGCTGCAATTGTAGCAGCTCTGGTCAAGCCGCTCGGGCACTAAGGGTTGGGGGGGGGGAGGGGAAAAACCTGGCAGCACAGTGCCTATCGGGGATTGTAGTTCTTCCAGCTTTGGAAAAACGGATCAAGAGCCTGTCACGTCTACCTTCAGACCAAGAACTCCAAAACCCATATACCCTTGCGTGAGTGGCGTCCCGCGCTCACCGACACCTTCTTTGATTGGTCAACCGGTCTGCCAATATCTCCACTTTCGTCAACGAATAGCTGGCGGAAGCACAACAGCACCCGCCTTCCGAGCTCAATTAAAGAGTTCATTGATGGCGTTAATCTTCTCTGGACAGAAAATAGATCCGGCTGAGGGGGGCGGGGCTGTGGTGCGGAGGGATCCTCGGCCCTAGAGGAAGGCGACGAGAAGGATCGGTGGCCGCCGCCGCCATTTTGGGCTGGGAGGAGGCAGCGGAGGGACTCGCTGCGCAGTGAGAGCACCCCGTGGGGGGTGGTCCGGGCGCGGGGAGAGGCCGGGCCGAGTGGGCTGCCTGAAGTGGTGGCGCCGGGAGACGGCGGGGAGTGGGACCGGGGACCGGGGGGGTGAAGGTTGGAGTCTCCCCGGCCGGGCCCGGTTCTCAAACCGTCCCGGCAGCCCCGCAGCCTCGCCTCTCACAGAGGGCGGGGTTCTTGGGCAATTACCGCGTGTTCCCCGAGACCCCAGTTGGGGCGAGACGACTCCCCTCTGCTCTTCCCACGGGAGACGCAGATCCTGAGGCCGAGTTCTGCCAGCTCTGCCCACCCCCACGCGGCCTGGGTATGGTGGCGGGGCCCAGCGGTGCGGGACCCCCACTTCCAGGGGCGAGGTGGGGGCGACGCCAGATTCCAAAGACTGGCGCCGCGGGGGAGGGCGGAGGTCCCAGCTCTGGTCGTGCATCCTTAGGCGAGGCAGGCAGCTGGGGGCCCCGGAGGGCGCCGAGCTGGGTGCACCCACCATCTTCCCCCATACACCAAGGCCATCCCGGGCTTCGAGAAGGAAACGGCCTTCTTACAGTAGCAACCACCAATTCCCCCCTGGAACTAGGTAGATAGAGGCATGTGGAAACCTTGGCGAGCCTCGTGCTTGGAAATCTCTGAGCGCTTCGCCCTCAAGATTTCTAGGCAGCCCCGATTGTCGGAATGACCTGACCTTGCACGTCCCCAGCCAGTTTGGGAAACTCTAAAAATGTGCTGTTCACGTCCCTTGAAAGTTCACACCAAAGAAAGGTTGGGTTTTACCCTTTACGGGGTTGGGACACAAAAAAACCGAGTGGCCACGGCTCTGGGAATAAACGTGGAGTGGCCCGTTTCGGATGCTTCAGGAACATCTGTTTGCGTTTTGAAATCCGAGCCATGAGTTTTACCAAAACTTTTGGAGAAATGGCTGCCCTCCTAGAGGAAAGAACGAACCAATTCCAACGTAATCTTTATAAGACTACAAATTCTTTCCAGTTTAAAGAACTTTTCTTCCACAAACTGAACAAAACGGGGAGTATTTCGCCACTGGCGCATTGTTACTAGGGAAAATCTTACGAATTTCCAAGTACAGTAATTGAGAATCACCTCTGTGAATCCCAGATGCTACCAAGATAGTAATTGCATTTTTGAGCAACTTCGTATATGTGGCGTTAGGGGGTTGGGGGAGACCTGCTCTGAAAAGAATAAATACTCAACCTTATATTAACAGTTATGGCAGCTTCTTAAGGATTGCAGTTTGATGTGAAATTCTTTCCTTGGATTACAGATTAAACCATCTTGTTTCCTACTGCTGGAAATCCAAGTTTAGAGAGATTTACATACAGTTCAGAGACATCTTAATAATTTGTTTTGAAAATAATCCATTAGAAGTTACATGTGGGTAGACTCTGAAGTATGAGAATGGGCAGTGAACTTTACCTTTGAGGTTATCTTGCAATGAATCTCATTGCCAATTACACATGGTCACATCATTCCTGAGTCTTTGGCTTTAATAGCAAGAACCCTGGAAGGTTTTTGATAACTGAAGCCCTTCTCCTCCTGTTAATCATTTTTTAAGTTGTAACTGACAGTTACGTAACTTTATATTCTTCCCCCCTGCTCCCCAGATGTTCTCAGCGAAAGTCTTACAACTGGATTGTGACAAGGTGATCACCACTGACTTGATTTCTTAATCCAAAATTTGAACCACTAAGTGAAGTACACTTGATTCATAACTGTGGGTTGATTTGATTTACATCATATTAATTTTACACTGTTCTTCAGATCAAGGGAAGGAGTTAGGAAAAGCTGACATTAATTTGGTAGGAGTTCAGTTAAATAGTCATAGGAGCTGAATGGGGCTTTAAAGATTATCTTTGTAGTTCTTCTGTCAAGAATTTAATGGAGGAGGATCTCAGACTCTTGTGATTCATCTTCCATGGTGAAGTCATACGGTTAAACTTTTGGATGCTACTGGGTACACAGCACTGTGCCAGGTGCAGAAATGTGTTACTCATTTATACAGTTGACAGGTTATTATCTTTAAGGTTGACCCTGAAGCTTTTCCATTCCTTGATAAGAAAAATTGGGAATAAATCCAGTTTAATAATGCTCTCTTGGTTATCTTCTGAGCAAAACACAAGACTGGAAGTTAGGAACTCCCAAGTTCTATTTCTGTACCTGCTACCACTGACTTGATTGGCTTGGCCGGAGGCCAGGTCCTGAAGATGAGGCCAACCTGGTCATTTTTGTTGCTGAGTCCATTGTTCATCTAATGTTCAACCAGACCTTCAACTTCCTTCTCAGCTCTCCCCTTTCAGATGAGTTGCTTCGGGGTTTATGACAAAGGCTACAAACCTATATGGCCCAATTTCCTGATTTGAAAATATCTCTGCTGCCTCCCTCATAAATATGTTGAGGAGTAACTACTCTCCAGTAGCTATGTAAACGTTTACTTAGGAAAACTTCATTATTTGGGAATCTAGAACTTTTGCTTCAGAGGTTATTTGGGGGTAGTTGGGAGGCCTGCCTTACTGAAATGTGGCCCTGGTTTCCCTTGGCAGCGCAAAGCGAGGCCATCCAACTAGGCTGAATGAGGGTCGGTTTCTTAGTGTACCAAGCAGTTGTTACTAGGAAGGTCTGTGTGTTTTACCCTGATGGCCCGCTCCTGCGGCCTGGTGGCTCTGTGTGAGCAAGATCCGTGGTGAGAAGGATTGACTCCTTGCAGCAGGTCCTTTTTAGGAGGAAGATCCTTCTGAATTATTTGATCTCCACAATTAGACCCAATTTTCTATTGTGTTTAGAGCTCGCCCTCTTTTCTCTTTGAATTTTCTCTTTTTAAATTGTTCCAATGTTTGTTGTCTTGTTAAGTACACTTTTAGAAATAGGAAGGCATAACTAACCTCTTAGACAATCCTTTCTATTCCTCTAGTTTGGTCCCCTGCCTTTGCCTAACCGTTGTACTGGAGTTACCCAGGTAGGTGGACTTCCATGTTTAAACAGGCTTCAGACTTCAAATTAATCTCCTTCTCTGGCTCTCTGGAGGCTAGCACAAATTCTACTGAGAGCTCACAAGGGCAGCGATGCTGTCATTTTCTCAGATACTTGTGCCTAGGACACACAAGTTCCTACATTTTCCTTCAGAATACCTTTTTGCTCACTGCAAACCCAGGGGTTTGTAACACTTCACACAGAGTCCGTGGATGTGTCAAATAGAACATGAAGGATGAGAGTACAATTTCCTTCTGAATTTTTGCTCTTTTTGAAAAACTTTTGGGGTGCCTGGGTGGCTCAGTCGGTTGGGCGGCCGACTTCGGCTCCGGTCATGATCTCACCGTTCGTGGGTTCGAGCCCCGCATCGGGCTCTGTGCTGACTGCCAGCTTAGAGCCTGGAGCCTGTTTCAGATTCTGTATTTCCCTCTCTCTCTGACCCTCCCCTGCTCACTTGCTCGCTCGCTCTCTCTCTATCAGAAATAAATAAAACATTAAAAAAAAAAGAAAAAACTTTTAAGCCAAACATAACTGCTCTTAGTGCTATGTTGAAAGATAGCACTATTCCAAACAACTTACCAACAGCATTTGAATTCTTTCACCCGTTTGAAAGAATTTTGTTGGTGTGCAAAGGTTTATTAATAAACTACTAGGATTATTCTCTGACTTTGACCTTGTTACCTCATTTGTCATATTTGAACCACCTCTAGGTAAAACCCAAGAAAAAGTTTATTCAGGAGGATTTCTGAGGGCTCAATTGTTGATCTAAACCCAGCCTTTTTTTTTTTTTTTTTCCAACAAGAAGTGGAATGAGGTTGTAAATTTTGCCAGTATTCAAAGACCATGGGCTCAAATTGACCCTTTGCTGCCTGGACTGTCCCAGTTGTAAAGTAGGACTGTTACCGTTTGGTCAGCAGATTGGACTGGGTTCAGGGCCTGAATTTGACATTTCCTTTACTCTAAAAATTATTTTTCATTTCTAGCATCAGCCATTTATTATACCTTATGTGGGAAAGAAGAGTAAAGTGGAATTTTATTCCGATGTTCTTGTCAAATTTGAAAAAATAATTTCAAAAAACTAACCTCGCAAACCCAAGTGTACAAGTACTAATTCAGCTGTAGCTAACATCGCCATCACGGTGTTGTGAATATTTGTGGCCAGCTGTTCTCGGTGTAAGTGGCCTGGGAGAATTCTGTGGTGCCTTACCTAATGTTTGACTAAATATAGTCAGCTCTTGATTTTCTGAAGGTAAACTATTCAGTTGTGCTTGTGGGTTTTTTTTCTTTGTTTATTTGTTTGTTTTAATTTCTATGTATTCCCTCTTTGATTTTTTTTTCCCCCTCTAACTTTTGAAGTCATTAGGGTCATATTTATTTACATTTTCCCAAAGGATTTTTATTTTACTCTGGATGAAGTGAAAATTAAAATATTGATCAAATGGGCAACTGCTCTGGTCTTAAAGGGCTGGCTCAGTCAGTGGAGTATGTGACTCTTGATCTCGGCCTTGTGGGTTCGAGCCCACACTGGACATAGAGATTACTGGAAAAAAAAAAAAAAAGAAGAACGATTATATCGATGGTAGCTTACTTTAGTATAACACATTTTCATCCTTTAATCCTGATAGCAATTTTGTAAAGTAGGCACAGCCCCATTTTGCTGATGAAAAATGAGACTCAGAGAGTTTGAGTTGATTCCAGGGTTGCACTACCAGTATATGTTAAGGACATGACTAGGACCCTGTTTTTTTTACTCTTCTTAAACTAGTCTAATTTTTATGTTTTCTTTTTTTAGAGATACCTAGTGTATTTTTCTGAATTAAACCAGTCTGGACCTCCCTGGCTTTCCCGAAAAATAAGATCTGTCTCCTGCCTTCTGAGGCCCACTTTGTATTATAGACTAACCCCCCAAAAGTTTTCCTCACTCAAAGGAGGATTAAGCTTTCCAGCCAGTGGTCTCAAAGTTGGGAAAGCACTTTGCCTTCACTGGATACCCAGGCTCCCTATGAGAAAGGGAACCAACTGAAATTGCCAGTGTGTAAGCCTGATCTTTTAGGCAGTTCAGTTAAAATGTTTGGAAGAGAGGACTTTAGTGAAAGACTAGAGATCCTCAAATGACGTGAGGACCATTTGTCAGCACAGCCCCCTCTTTTAATAGTAATTCAGTCTTTTCTCTCTACCCTGAGAGTGATATACTGGTCAAGTGTTTTGGTGTAGAAAGTGTTGATAGAAAATTTCATGCAAAGTTCATCACTCTAAGAACATAAATGTAATATGTATTATGAAGTGCCTTGGAAGCAAAATTAGAAAATGGCCTATCTCCAGGTAAATGAGAAGTAGTGTGTGAGTTACTTAAAACTATCTGTGTATTTATCAAAGACAGGACTAAATTTGTCTCCTAAGAGTAAAACATAGTTTTTTTTTTCTGACGGTAAATGTACTTAGAGTTTCTCCAAGACTAAGAGTAGGGGAAACAAGATCATTAAAGTTTAATCTATTTATCTTCATAGTAAG